AGCAGGACAGAGAAGGATTTGTTTTGTGTTGTAGTGAGGATTATGCTGCTCAGGCGTGCCTGGTGTATAATCTGGGTGCGCTTGAATGCGTACGAGCAGTTAGGTGGCTGCCTGAAGGTGGCCTTCCCGGGAGATGTGTGTGTTTAATGGCTGTGTCTGGGATTTCAGGAGTCATCTGAGCGCAGTTTAAAAAAAGGGGTCTATTTGATGTCTGTGAAGGGATACTGCTGATAGAGAAACAAACGGAATTACAGTAAAGTAGTACAGTAGCACAGATGCAGTTCAAAATCTGAGATAGCTTCAGAACATATATCTATATGCTTCTGTCTGGACATAATTCATCTTGTTTACCTAATTTACTTGACTAGAGAGAAAGAAACCTGGTTGCTTGCCTGTGTTAAGAAATCAGAATCCTTTGCAAAAAGGACGAGGTTTCCTTAGCATAAATGAAACCAGTCATTCCCTTGCGACCTAGGCCATCTTTTTGTGGAAATGCTCTTAGGTCAGACCTGCTACCTCTAGATTAAATAAATGTCTCTGTAGATTAAGTAAGTAAGGCTTCTACAGCTCCATGACTCCTAAATCTATCACCAAATTTGTTGATAGAGTATTTAATTATAAAACATAAACTGCTTTGTGTTCCTCTCATCTCTTGTGAGTGCCGAGTTGTACAACATTTGAAGAGTGATTTACAAGATGCAGAGACAAACCTTGAAAGAAGAGAGTATTTCACAGGAGTGGGAATTTGAGCTGTGTACTTGTGCCTTCATACAGAGGAAAACACTCAGTGTACTCTGGCCCGACAGAGCTGGTGTAAAAATCAGGGACATGCTCATAAAATGGTTCAACAATTACATCTTTTACATTATTCTTTCTCCCTTTAGAAACACTAACACAAGCTGACTGTTCTTCAGGATGTGGTAGTTTCTCATTTTCTCCCAAATGCTGCCCAAAATGTGGCTGGGCCACCCGGCAGGGAGTTTTCTTTCTCTCTTACAGCACTGTTGTGGGACTTCTCTTAGACCACTGATTCTCAGAAGGGAAGAGCAATACATACATCTTTTGGTCCTCTGCCACTCACCTCATCTCATGTCTCTCCCTTATTCCCTTCTTGCAAATTGTGAGCCTGTGGCAAAGGATTCAGAGGTTTCCCCCTCTGCAGTTAGGTGCACAGTGGTGTCTGTGCCCAAAGGACACAGCTCACCTGGGAGAGGCTCAGGGGGTTGTTGTGTCCCCTCAGACCGTGGTGATTGGAGGCAGCACTGTCCCTGCTGGCTGATCTCTTTATAGCAGCAAAGGAAGTTGTCTTTCTCTTCAGATCTTGAAAGAGAAGGTTTTTAACAGCTTGGAGTCTTTGAGAAGCCCGGGGCTGCTCTGTCTGCAAGGTGCTGTCGCTTTTCCCAAAGTCCTCCTTGGACTTGATGGTCACAAATGGGGCCGTTCCTCTCAAAGGGGATCCAATGAAGTCATGCACCTGGGGCAGGTGCTGGCACTGAAACCATCATCGCTGCTGATGAGGGTTGAATGCAGTCCTGAGATGTGTGTGTTCTACATCTGTGCCAGTTTCCTGCCTTCGCTAGCAGCCAGCTAGTGGTATTTATTCCTTTAAATACGAGGTTTAGGAAAGCAGCCTGGAATGGAGAGGAGACTGTTACCCTGCACTGCCATGTGCTGACCAAACCCAAGCTCCGCACGCTGCTGAATACTCTTCAGAGGATGGAATTTTGCATTGTTGCTTCCCATAGCTTGCTTTGAAGCTTATCAGTTTCCTCATCCATCCATCATCCCTAATGGAAAAAAGGAACCAAACAGGGATAATCACTGTCCAGTCTTACGAAGAGGCAAACAGCCACGAGATGTCAAAGATTATCAGAAAGATAAACTCTGTTTTAAGTGGAAGGATAGCTCGACCACATTTGATAGTGTCTTTCTTCAAACAGTTATATAGCTTCCCTCAGCTTGTGCTTGCTTGTAAAGTGAGAGAAGGGATGAAAAGGAAGGATGCTCAAGAGATACCAATAGCCAAGGGGTATTGGAACAGCTTCATGTGTGACATTAAACAGGGGAAAACCAGCCAGCATTTGGATCAGCTGGAGTCTCCCTGCCACATGCTTTGATTTTTCCTATTACTGTGTTCCAGCAGGGCAAGGCTCCTCCAGAGCTGTGGGCTCAGCTGAGGCAGGTGCTCCAGGGGTTCTGCATCCCGCTCGCTTTGCTCCTTGCAGCTGTGGCAGACGATGGGTTGAGCCACATGTGTGTTACACAGCAGGGAGCCTGCTGGCTCGCAGGCACTGCTCATCTGAGAATGGAGGCCGAGACCTGGCTGCAGTGCAGAGAGTCGTGATCTTGACCAAGGGTTTGCACCAACAGGTTCTCTCCAGAAAGAGAGAGTTTCATGTTTTCCTCTTCAGCCGTGGAGGGCTCCCTTGTCCAACTGCACTTTAGGTGGCACATGGTTTCGTTTACAAGTTTAACTTGTGAAAGAAGGTGGAAGGAAGACTGACTTTCCCCATGCATTAGGGCACCTCCAGCCCTATGGTTGTCTCTGGCCCCTGCTTTTTTCTCAGCTGATCGGTCATCTGTTCTTGACATTAGCTGGAGAGTGCTGTGCAAGCCATGCATTTGTCTTTACCTCGCACTGAATGTTTCTGTATATCCAGTTACATCTGTGTAATTTACAGCCCTGGGAGCACTTGGGAATTTCTTGCCTTCCTACAGCATTTTGTAGGAGGTGACAGAGGCAAATCCCTGCTCACAGCTTGTCCCTGGCTGGCGCTGTGCGAGAGGCTGTTGTGATGGTAGGAGTCATCTCTGTGTTTTGTGCTCTTTGGGCATCCTGGCTTTGGAGTTAACTGAAATATCTAATAGTGTTTTTAACTGTGAATCCATTTTGTGGCCGTGAAGGTCAAATAAATAAATAGTCAGTTTTAGCTGATACAGTGCAATGCATGGACTTTCTTCCTAACACAGCTCGCTGCTGTCACCGGGCTTCTCATTAGATGTGTGACACAAACTGCTTACCTGTGAAGTAAGAGCAGAACTTGAATTCTGGTCTTCAGAGCTGAAAACACAAAGTGAGGGTCCCGTGACTGCTCTGCTGCTTGGACAGCAGTCAGTGCTGGGTCTCCAGTCAGTGCTGGGTCTCTTGCAGGAGTGGCAGAGCTGCTCCAAGGGATGTCTCATGGTGGAGCGAGCTCAAGAGAGGAACAGCTCGGGACTGCCGTGGTTAATTAAAAAACATGCCCTTACAAGCTTGTGGGGATTTATAAGGCAGAGTTTCCACCTCGCTCCCCTTCTGTGATCAGAACCAGAACAGTGATGCGTATTTTTAAATATGCATTCTGTGCATTTTATTCTAAAAAAACGCGCTGTATCTACAGGTTTACGGTGGCGGTACCAATGACAAAATATTACCATTGTCATGTTTTACTGTTCCTTAAATTGTTCATTTGTTCTGATTGGCAAAACTTAAGCTCTCACAGTATGCAAGCCCACATGTAGGTGTATAACCAATGGACCTAATTCTGTCCAAGATCCAGCCCACTTATCTGCTTTGAAAACTTTGAGCAGATGTTTTGAAGAATGCGGCAAGAGATTCTTAAAGACTTATCACAGTAGGAAAAAAGATGTTTAGCGTAATTTTATAAAGCTTCTCTCCTCTGTAATTTGAAATCCTGTTTACACAAGTGCTTCGCCTGAAAATCAGTGTGGCAATGTGTGAATTCAGCCCAGGCTGCTGATCAGGTGGAAAAGGAAAGGACAGCAAGAAGTTTGCCAGCTGGAGAGCAGGGGGTGGTGGACAGCACACTTTGAAATCAGTGTTTAACCCAGCACACCTGTAAGGAATGGGAGCTGGTTGGGTCTTTAGTGCTCCCTTTGTCCTCGCAGCATTTGCTGTGGGGGTTTTCCCTCATACCAGAAATTGGGAGGAAGGCTCAGCCAGGGGGTTTTGGTTGGTGAGTGTCTGTCAAGTGCTGAGCTTGGGCAGGGGGAGGTTGAGGTTGAGGATCAGGACCGCCTGCTGCAGTGGCACCGGCTGCGAGTGCCCCCTTCCTCTGAGGGGGATCTTGGTTTGAAAACTGGGGCGAAACACCACAGTAAAACTGCCTGAGTATAAGGAGGGCAAGTGATCAAACCCATCTGCTGCTGGATCAATGTATTCTGACTCTTTTTTTAAAGTTTTTTAAAATTATTATTTCACTGAGCAAACTGAGTGATAAAAACAGATTTTCCCTTTGTGATTTTCATGCGCTTGGATGTTTCTGGAATGTTTGAATTGACTTTTCACTGAATCCTGCTCTCTCTATATGTGTATATATATCTATATGTAAAAATATTTCAGTCATAGCATGATTTCTTGTCATCATAGCATCACTAATACTTGGTTTATGCGCATGTTGTCCTCTGAGCTGAAGGTAACCTTGCAGTGCACACTCAGCGGAAGGAACCCATTTGTCATTGCTGTTTGAGCCACGTGTTCCTGTGTGAGGTGGTGGGGTTTTCTTCTTGGACTGTTGTTTCTGCTGTGCAAACCTGACTGATTAGCTGGCAAAGCTGCATCACATCAAGTTATGGTGTTTAGTTGCAATTGTGTTACTTTCAAATACAGTATTCCAGATTCTCAACTGCTCTTTAGTTTGGTCCAGCAAACGCTTTTAGCGAATCTAGTGTTTAATGTTATGAAAAGTCATTGAGATTACATATTTTAATGAGCAAGAGGGTTGAGCTGAAGCATGAGCGTGAGTTGGGCAGTTAGCATTAGAGCTGTATTTCTGGTATTCTAGACAGATTTCTTCTTAGCACTCAGTAGATATAGGTTACTGTTGTTATATACATCTGTTTCTGTGCCTGAACGTCACAGAAAATATATTTCTTATTAAGATTCAGTCACTCATGAGAGTGTGATTAGATGCTAATACGATAATTGAGTAAAAAAGTAGCCAGCCTGTTTTTAGTCATGATAAAAACATATTCCTTGCCCACCATGCAGCACTTTGCCAATGGTGCCTTCATTTGAAGCAATTTTTGAGCATAATACGTACCAACCTTACGAATGTTTGCCGCAGTCAGCGAGCCCTGTGGTGCCTGTCAGTGCTACGCTCTTATCCAAGTATGACGATTTAAGTCAAAATGCAGTGGGATTTTTCTTTACTTCTTGTGAAGAGCTTGTCTTGTTCACAATGTGACGAAATGTTACGGTACGGGAGCAAAAGTGTAATGCAGCATTTTCAGTTACGGCAAAATACAGTGACGAGACTGATAGCAGGTGCCCTGGTACAAAAGAATCTGATGATCTCTACAGGCATTAACTTGCCATTTATTTTATAGTTTCTTTACAGTAACCTTATTTTTTTCTTTCCAGGAAGAAGTTTACTGCAGAGCAGCATTCATATTTGAAGGCTGCTGCAAGAAAATATAAACCAGATGCAGTTGCTTTATTAATAAAAGCCAGTGTAAAATGTGTGTACTATATACAAGGGCACATATGATCATTGATCTTTGTGTACAACACCGTCTCAGCATCAGTGGGAAGTTGTACAGTGTCATGGCTTTGATCCAGGGCTTGCTGAAGTCAGTCGTGTCCTGCCATTGAGCTTGGACACTGAATTGAGCTGCTAATTCCTGGGAATTCTGAAACGTCACATGTTTTCTCACAAGTTCTTTTCTTTCTTTTTTTCCCTTTTAGGAAAACTCTCCTTTTTATTGCAATATGTGTAGCTGTTGGTGTTGCACAAGTATCCAAACAAGGTAAGAACACTTATTTTATAACGGGATCTTTATATAATCTGTTACTGGATTAAAAGAATAAATGGCTGTTGTTACTGGTGACCTTAGGTTCAGTTCCTTATTGGTGACTTAAAGAAAATACCAGCTACAGCATAATGAGAGCAAAAGTTTAAAGCAACCAGTTTGGAAAAGATGACCTTTTGAAAATTACTCAGATTTTCTGTCTGTGAAATTGCTTACATATTTAAGCAAGCCCTTCATAAAAGAGCAGCCTTGTACAGGGAAAAGGCTTTGCTTGTGTCTTCACTGCAAGTGGGTGTCCTTGGGGGTGGCAAGCCGTGACCGAGTTACCTTTGCACTTAGGGCTGTGCAAGCAAACCACTGCGTATAATAGAGGCTTAGTTGAGGCTGGCATCATTAAAGCAAAAAGTGAAGTTGTGTATTCATTTGGGTTTGCATTCAGATGCAGATGTTAGTGAGGAAATAGTGTTGTCTTGTGTTTAGTTTCTTTCTTGACCTGCCAGCTGTTATAACTGCACCAGATGTGCAGCTTGCACTGGAGCCTGCTGTGGGAATACTGGTGTTCCAGAGTGGTGGAGGCTGACACCACATTTATCCTTTATGTGCTGAGAGAGTGGCAGCATCGGCTCTCTGCCGTGTTCCTTCACTGTACAGGTGAAGCAAGAAATAGGTCTTCCTTGGCTGGTAAGTGTAAATACTCAGCCATTCAGTATTCACAAACAGCTGGGTTGCGTGGTCAAGACAAAACTCATTCCTGAAAACATTTTGCCAGAGCCCTCCAACATTATTCTCACCAGTGCCTTTTTCTTTCTCATCACTCCCTGTGATTAGCGAACTTGCTATTTTTCTCCAGGTTTGGTTTTTTTTTCTTTCTTTCGCTTTGTAGTTTTGCCTTCCATTCGTTGCTCGTTGTTTGCCTGGTAAGATTGGTTGGTTTTTCACGTTCAGCTCAATGGGGGACGTAGGCTTTCGTGGTGGTGGGGTTTTCCCAGATTTCTCTGGTAGCTGAGCCAGGCTCTCACCAGAAGAGGAGCAGCACCCATAGATGTGTGTGGCCTGCCCTGCTCGGGGTCTGCAGGGATGGAAAGGGAGAGGCTGTTTGCTCTTTCCCAGCGTAGCAGGGGCAGGTGAGGGGCACCAGGGACAGGTTTGTCCTCATCCCTCCAGCCCAACCTCCTCCTCTGCCAAGAACTAAACAGCTTATTTAACTCCTCATGTGCCTGAGAGCTGCTTTTCTTCAGGCGAGGGCTCTGAAGGCTGCAGGGCTGGGGAGCGGGTGCAGTCTGAAGCTTGTTGCTTCTTAGCCGAGAGCAGCTTCTTGTACAGAGCTTTGCAGAAATGGGGTAAAACCTCCAGTCTTGACCTGCTTGTATTTGATTTGTTTTCTGTCATCAGGTGGTGAAGGAGCTTTCCTACACTTTTGGTATTACTAGCATTTCTAGATAGCCATATAAGAAACCTTACTGAATGCAAGCACTCCTCTAACTGTGCACAGATCCCCTGCACAAGTTATACTTTTGTTAAGTGCTTGCTTCGGATCAAAATGATGCACTGAGCCTTGATGCAGCTTTCTGCCCGTGGATGAATTTGGTCCCTCATGCACTTTATTCGCAGGGTGTGTAAACAAGGTAGCAAGAAGCAGTTCAGAGAAACCTCATGGGGACAAAAAAGAGCAGCTCCAGGGTATCCTTCAGTCAAAGCACATAAGCTGCAGGGCAAGCACTATTCCATTTGCAGAGCTTAGAGTTCGTCCAGGAACAGGGTTGTCTGCCATTAGCAATATGTTAACACTTAAGTTGTTATTAAAACTTTCTTGGCAATTGTATTTTGAAAAAGAGAACATTCTGCCAAGTCTGAAGATGCTAGCGAGAGTAATTAACATTCCTTCTCTCCTCAGCTGATGTGGCAGCCTGTGCATGCTTTACCTGAGAAACTATGCCTTGTTCGTTTTGGCAGGCTGCTACGAGCTGTGTTCGGTGACATGTATGTAAAGATACAGCCCCGGCCTTTAGGAATCATGTTTTGAGTGTGGCTCAAGGACATACGGAGTCAATGTGTCTGGTTGGCTTTCCTGTGCCGGTCACTTGGCCTGGTGTCCAGGAGAGCGTTGGTTGCGGGCAGGTATCTTGATTGACCCAACTGCAGGTGAAGCATCACCCAGGAAATGGGCGACCTGATGAGTAATGGCTCTCTGTTCTGGTGGAGCTGAGTGGTGAGTGGCCCTTGTCTGTCCCTTGCCTATACTGGTAAAGGGAAAGCGAGTAATGTGTACAACTGAGATTACTGAAATGGAGAGAGCATCCCAAATACCCTGCCTTCAGAGCAGTCATGAGTGTGGAGGAACGTGGAAAATGAAGAGAGACTGAGCAGAACAGGAGTGTGGGATGATCCAACAGCCAAATCCCAACATCCCTCCCCAGTTATTTTTTTTTTGTATTGTTTTGTGCCACAAAAGGATCAGAAGACTTTGCCAAAGCCTGTGTCAGGTTTTCCCTCCCCTCATGATGCTGTAAGGTGGTGAATTTTCCGAATCCTCCCAGAAGGTGGAAGGAAAGCACTTGACACCAAAACCCCCAAACAGCTTTTCCTGCAAGAAGATGAGCCGCTGCAATTTGGGGGAACTAATGGGTTGAGTGAAGGGTAAGTGAAGACAGATGTTGTGCAGACATGGGTAAACACAGAAAACTGACTACTGATAGGTAAAGAAAATAGTGGTTGTCATGCTGGGAGGAAGAGTTGAGAGGATTGCCTGCTCCCAAAACCCTGTGTACTGCCAAGAGCTTCTGAAAGCCTTAAAATAAAATAAAAATACAGGTTGGATCAGAAATAAAATGACTGGCCAAAAAAGTTTGGAACAGCCTCTTGGCTTGACGGCGGGTTAACAGGCAGCAAGTCAGCGAGGAGTAATTAGTTGATACTTGATCTTTTGCTGTCATTTTTCACACAGCGTTGCTTTGTGTTTGGCTTTCTCAGGATCCGACATTGTTTGTTTGCAGGACGTGGAGGATGTGTATTATTTCTCGTCATGCTCTTAGATGTTACTCCTTTTTTTAATAAGTTGTCAAATGTCCTGTTTTCAGATCACAGCTGCCGAAGTTTTGGCAATTTTACTTGCAGTTCGAGGTCTAGCTGTGATACTTTTGAATGGCATTTTTGAATTGACTCTTTTAAGCCAGTTTAAGTTGGGTTTTTTTGTTTGTTTTATACTTCAGTTTATAATACTGTGGACAGATCACGTGCAGTGTTATTTTTAAATACGAATATATAATGACAAATATTTTAAAAATACAAGTACTTGCCAAATATTTCAGATTAGGATGTGGTATTTAGGCACGACCTTATTAGTGTTCTCCTCTGCGCAGTCAGCTGGGCCCAGTGAGCAGCGCCTCCAGCCTTGGGGTGTTATCTGCATGTGTAAGGCATTGCCCAGTGCTCAGGACCTGTGTTTCCTCTGATCTTCCACAAGGGCAGTGCAAGTCTGGCTTCCTCCTCTGTAACTGCGTGAGCGGGGTCCTGGGAAAGCGCGGTGGTTCTTTAGCAGATGCTTTGGGTTTCGAAGCTCTGCTATAACCTCTGTTATCAGTCTGACAAATAAAAATACAGCCACGGTAAATCAGTTGCTCTGAGGCAAAACATGTTGAGAAACTGGCGTACACATGACTTTCTGCAAGGATGTGCTTTCCCCGTGGCTCTGGCTGCGCTGGCTGCCCTCCAGGACAGTCTTGGCGTGCCTGCGGATCCCAAACATGACTAGAAACACTACAAGGTGTGTAACTAATTCTCAGGATGTACAGTGCGTTCAGGTTGATGCTTTTGGTTCCAATTTATAAACCACTCTCAAGGAAATCTCAGGCTCTTCTCATAACTTACCACTGAAACCGAGCCAACATCTGTCTATTCTTAAAGTTTGCTATGAATACATTCAGTAAACAGAGAAAGGAGAGACTGGGAAAGGAGACCTTTTTTCCACTAAAAGAATGAACATCCATTTGTTTCAGTTGCTCTTTGTTCTTAACATAGCACATAATCCTTAACTTTTCTTGGTTAATCCAAATTTTTGTTATGCCATTCAATAACTTTATTTACTTAATGTAAGCACAACGGGGATAATAAAAGTACCCTCAGCTAAATGCTATGGAAAGTGCCAGTCGCTTCCCAGTCAGGCTTATTAAATCAATGCAACTGATGGTAACTACAGTCATTTTAAATATAAGTGGTTCACTGGAGTTTGGGTGTAACCAGTCGTTTCAGTTTTGGGGAAAAAAGGACAGTATCATTATGCTTCTGTGCAGTGTTGTATATGAAAATGTCAATGTTCAGCTTCCCCTTGTGCAGAGATCTGGGATATTTACGTTACAGGGACCTTGAACTCCTGGTCCTACCTCCTGCTGAGATAAGGGTCAGTGCTGGAGTCAGGTCAGGTTGTTGGGTCCTGTCCAGTTGGGCTTTGAAAGTGTCCCAAGAACGGAGATTACACGCTGTCTCTGGCATCCTGGTCCAGCACTTAACTGCTTTTGCAGAGAATGCTTTTTCTCTGCGTGGAGCTTGAATTTCTTGTATTGCAGCTTGTGCCCGTTACTCTTCAGCTTTTTTTTCTGTTTTCCCTATAATCCCAATTCAGATCATGGACAATTGTAATTAGACTCCCCCAGACCTTACCACCTCCAGCCCAAGCAGGCGTAGTTCTTTTGTCTTTACTCATGTTATGTGTTTTACCCCTCGGTCTTGTTTTTTATTTCCGTGATTGCATTTTGTCTCAGTCTCTGCAGTATTCCTGTGGCCATTTCACAAACACCCAGACAAGCAGTTTTACCAGCCTGTACTACAAGTGTTGTCTTATTTTGCCACCTTTCGGGAAGGCTGCTGAGGGCACTTGTTTTAGCTCCTATTCAAGCCCTCCTAGTGTTTCTGTTTCAGCTGCATCGTAAGGCATCTAATGATGTCTTTATTTTCATCCTGAAGGAAGAAAGTGTGTATGCCCACTGACTCCAACATGCCTCAACCTGATGTAGGCAATACCTGCTGAATTTGGTCATCTTTGACCATTGATTTAACCTTTAGGAGGAAAGTGGCTTTGATTTCTTACCCCACATCAGATAGGATTTCAGTTTATCAGGAGGCTAGATAATTGTGTTTCTAACCATTAGATGAAGATGTTTAGCTGGGTAAAAGATGGAGATACTGTAAGGTCCAAGCTAAGGAAAGGGCTAAAGCCCAAAGCTCACATTTATAAGATACTAGAGAATCCAACAGTGACAACACCACTGCCCTTTCCACCCTGTAGGAGGATCTTCTGTGCAGACTCCTATGTGCCAAAGCCGTATCTATAGGGCATAAATCAGGACAGCTGGTTTCTCTCTCTTCTTAATATCCCGACATTTCTCCTCTTTGCTTGTTACCACCTCTGCTTTCTGCAGAGCTCACCCCATCCACGGCCCTAACAAGTGAACTGTGTGGAGGGAAAGGAGGTGGTGACACACTTTGCTGCATCTCCTCTTGGAAAGAGCTTTGTTTTCTTTTGGTCTGACTGATTTCGGCACAGATACGTACGATCAAGGGCAGTCCCACTGGGAGAACAATTCCCTTTGAAGCCAGTCCTGTAACGGCACAGGGCCTTTGTTGGCGGGAGGAGGAAGCACAGCAATTTTTCCTGGTACCAGTTGCTTTACCTTTGCAGTGTATGGTAGCTCCTCAGCGAGGCTTTCTTTTTAATTGTGCTTTGAGCCAGTGACTGCCTTTTGGTGCTCCGCTGTGGTGTTACCGTGCTAGTGAATAGCTTGTCCCTTCTTAGGCACAAAGCAACCTTCTACCCAAGTTGTTTCATTTAAACTTCTCAGAAAAAACATCGTTTTATTGCAGAAGGTTTTTGCAGAAGAAAAACGTTACAGTTTTAAAAAAAAAATCATCTGCTCAAAGAGCAGGCAGAATTTGCCAAATAAATAAGGAACTAACAAAGTGTTCATTGACTGCTGTGGAAAGGTCGATGACAGCAAATGAGGATTCTTCAGTTTGGTAAAAGTAACCTACAACGTACATTATATGGCCCTTTCTGTGGGTGGTTTGTTTGGGTGAGGTTTTTTTAAGACGGAAATTTTGTTCTGGCTTCAATTATATTTGTTTGATTCATGTGAAAGATTGCTGTGCCTTATGCTGGGGATTTGGTGGCCTTGCTGTGTGCAGTATATATAGTCTGGGAAGTATGTATTTGTTAGGGTGCTGTGTGTACTTTTGTTTATATGGATCTGAGTTTATGAGCTTGTAAACGAACTGTTGTTCCTTTTCATCATTGCCTGTGTTTCTTCTTGCAGCAATAGATGTTCTTCACCAACTAGGCTTTGTGAAAGATGCTCAACAGCCTTCAGAGACGACAGCGCCCTCAACGTCATCTCCGCTACCTCAGGGTGTTCGTCTGACCGTATCGGGAGCTGTACTAACCAGCGATGCCCATATTGAGTCCCCCGTCACTCAAGTCATACCATCAAACCTGGGGCATCAGTTCACCATATTGGTTGGGTTGTACTCTTACAGAGTAAATAATGCTTTCCTTTTCAGTATTAGGAGCAGAAGTAGACTGCAGTTTGGTGTCCAGCTGCTACCGAGAAAGGTAGCGGTGTACACTGGAGGGAAGCAGTCCGTGTACTTTGATTACAGTGTTCATAATGAACAGTGGCATTCCTTTGCCATTGACATTAGAGACAAGACTGTCTCGCTGTTTGCTGAGTGCGGAAAGAAGTGCTATAGCAGGGAAGTACTTTCTGAAGTGGAGACCTTTGATTTGGATGGTTTATTTACCCTGGGAAGGATGAACTCTCACTCTGTCAGCTTTGAAGGCGTTATATGTCAGCTAGATATTATTCCCTCTGCAGAAGCCTCTGCAAACTACTGTAAATATGTGAAACAGCAGTGTCGCCAGGCTGAAACCTATCGATCCCTGCTAGGAGCTCCACGTGTGTTAGATGGGATGGATGTTTTTTCAATGATGATGACTGATGAGAAAAACGAGTCAGAAAACGTATCAGCTTATAGAAGGAAAGAAACATCAAACGTTCCTGTTAGTAATGTTGCTCAGATTCATTTTCTCTCAGAACCCTTGGAGTCAAGAAATGTCTCTGCATCGGAGTTTCCAGAGGCCAAACCTCTGCTGCTGGAAGCTTGGCCTGAAACAGAACTCCAGGAGAACGTCAGTCTTTCTCTTCATCAGCAGGAGGCGAGCAAAGAAGGAAATGTGACTACAAACCCCACAGGATCATATCCAAATGCTTTAGATAATACCACAGATGATGCAGGCAGACAAAGCGAGCCTCCTCTGGTCTCTTCTGTAAAAGAGAGTAAAGCTAAAAGCAAGGGAATGGACAAAGCAAAGCAGCGTTCAGATGACCCAAGCAAAAAGCTGCAAGTCTTAAACACAACCCTGTACAGCTTGTCTGCTGACCTCTCTCTGGATAATCAGCCTGGTCCAGGGCAGGAAGGTGCACTTGATGCTGATGAGATTTATCACACAGCAAACAGTTATGACATTGGTGTTGATAATTATGCCTATGACTATGAAGATCTTGACAAAATGTTTGAATTGGGAAGTGTCAGAGGTCCAAAGGGGGAAACTGGACCTCCTGTAAGTTATCTTTACTGCTCTTTTTACTATAATGCAGCAACATTTAACAGGGCCTTTGAAAGAAAATTTTTAAACCACAGCATGGAGTAAATAATTCCACTTGCTCTTTTTTTGTGTGTGTGTATGCGTGTATTTGTGTGGTTATTACTGGAAAGCAATTTGATATCAATAGATATTTCAACGTGCCTATAAATCTATTGTGTGTACTCTTTCAGCACTGAAATACCTTAGGTCATCAGCAACCAAGAACTTACTTAAAAGTTCAGGTTTTACTCTAACCAGGAACCAGATGCAAAGGGATTGTTACACAATTGAAAAATGTGTTAACAAGTAATTCACGTGAGTCCAGGGGTGTGCTTTTGCTTAATCTTCTCTGAATGTGCAGTTAGTCTTGTTTTATTCTCTTTTTGTCCCTTATGATAGTACTCATGGGGATGTATCACTGAGGATAAAGCTGTCATCAACATGAGGTTAATGTCCATTTTTGGAGCTTAGGGTATTTAGCAACAGACATTTAGTAATGAAAGCTAATGGAAGCTTTTAATTTTAGTACATGGCTTGTATGTTGTGACTTCGATGAGTTACAACCAAGAAAGCTGAATCTGTTCTATTCCCATGGCACAGAAATGGCTGCTGCTGCTGCTGTCGGTTGTTTGTATTACTACAGCTCCAAGCAAAAGCATGGGTTTTGGGTTTTTTTCCTAGACACAGACACTACCATGGAGTGTCAGAGATGACGGCAGATTTGGAGAGTTCAGAGATGTCTGTGTTACCATTTTCTATGCCTGTCTTACAGACTGAGGACACAGAAGTTTTCCTTCCCTAGGAAGGCAGTTAGAGCCAACCTGGCAGTGGGTATAGTCTGTAGCAGTGAATATGAAGCATTTGTACTGAAGTCTTTGGATGGGTCAGGATCTAAATAACATACCCGAGGTCTTAGAGGTCTGTGGCAGAGCGGGGCAGTTTAATGCAGACCTCTGTGGGCACTAGTTTGGCTGAAGGGGGGACAGTGACATCCCCTTGAGACGGAGACAAAGCTGAAGCGTTGTGCACCCATAGGGGTCAATGCCAAAGGGAGAAGAGGGCTCTGCGTGGCCTGGTCCACACAAGCGTTTGTAGGCAGTTGTGTGCCATGGAGGGACCTGCCACTGTCCCTGGCCTCAGGCTTGGTTTGCTCTCTCAGTCTAGTTATACCCATGTAGAAAAGATCAGAGATAATCCAGTTTTCGTCTGTGTGGCTCTAACGTTTTAATACATGAGTATCCACAGAATCTTATCAGTGGGGAGCCTTAAAAAGCAACACTGAGGAGCTTGCAAAGTTCCCTTGCAGCAAAAAATCCTGATGAGGCATGAAACCCTCCTTTCTTTTTTTTTTTTCTTTCATTATGTTGTGGTTGGTTTGAACCTTCTTTCAAGATTTCAATACAGAAATAATGTTCGTTCTATTGGAATTGACAGGCAAGAACTAGCTTTTGTGGTTCTTAAACTCCTTAGCTTCATTTTAGCTTTTAATCATCTACCAGAACTGATTCTTGCCTTGTATAATTAGGCCCCTTGTATTCCATGATCCCACAGCTGTGGAATTCACCCATCGTTGCAAAGCAGGGTTCCAGAATTCAGGCTTTCACTTATAGGTAGCATATGGAAAAGTGCACCTATTTCTTCAAAACTATGAAGACCCTGATTAAAATTCTAGCAGTTTCAATGGCCAAAATCCCCTACAAAATATAAAGCGAGTTTAAAGTGGAACAGCGTGGTCTCCTGAACCACTGGTTTAGAGGGAAAGCTGCTCCATTCATCTGATTATATCACTGTATGAAGATTTAAAAACATAATAAATCTCTAAATCTGTGTATTTGTAATTGTTTAACTTTTTAAAACTGATATTCTTCATTGCACAGTCCCAGAGCAGTTTGCAGTAACATGGTACATAGTCTCACACTGGTAGAAGGAGGAGTTGATTTAGATTACTTGCTGGTAGGTAATTGCATCTGTAGGCCCATCTCCACAGTGATCTGGCTTCCCCTGAAAAATGAGCTAGGAATTTGTTTCCTCTGTTGGAAAATCTTTGTGGATTATGAAGATGCTCAGCCAGGAGGTGATACGGTTGAAGCCCAAAAAGTGGTGTTCCTTGGTCTGTCAAGTTGGTTAGAAGCAGTCTGGAGGTATTGCCGGGAGGAACTGGCAATGCAAGCCCTGCATTAGGGAGAATTGAGTCTTGGATGGGATGCTCTAATTCCAACCAAGAGGTATAAGGGTAAGAACCCTGAAAGAAAGCAGTTCAAACATCCTAAATGTGGTGCTAAGTGGACAGCAGTGAAGGCAGCATCAGCAGAGATGTCACTCTTGGCTTATTTCTCAGTTGCACAGAATTGTTTGCTGAGGCTCTCCTAGCCACAGGGGATCTGCAGGGCAGTTAATCACTCATGCATTTCAGCTGTGCAGGTAACCCTCACGTTTCCTTACCCAGGCTGAGAAATCTAGATCAGTATCTGCTGATGCTGATAAAGACTTAGTAGCAGAAAGATAATGTTAATCTTAAATATTTAAACATTTAATTCACCTGAAACTGATGCAGGTGTGTGTGGGGGGGTGTGTGTGTGTGTATAGTCCTGTGATGTTGATGGTGTTGCTTTGACTGTTGTAGGAATTCTTGATGAAGAGAAGGACTTCCACAGCTGTAAAGCAAGGAGGTTAATCACACACAAGTGAATGCCTGATTTAGGGCATTTGGAAAGAGAAGTGTGCAGGCTTTTTATAATTTCCAGTGAAATGCAAATGAAGCAAGAACAAAATATAAGCGGACATTCGTGTTTGGTAGGACCCTTAATAATTAAATGAGTATCTGTATGAAGTAGTGTGCTTTAAAAAGGTAGACAAAGCATGATAGGAGGAGGTAGAAGAATTCTGAGTGACAAAATCAGAATTCCAGATGGTCTAAAACCGATGGGATGAAACTTAGTGCAAGAGTAGAGAAACTAGAAGTACAAATAGAGGAGAGGAGAGTCATTGGTTCGGCAGTCAGACGAGGGTGGTGCAGTGATGTTACAGGGCACTATATAAATGCATCTTGCCACTGTGATGCATTACCAGGACTGATGAGTGTCACAGACAGGCTGGTTTTCGGTTGGTTCGGCTCTGCTGAGGCTGCGTTTTGGACAAGTTTGGGATGTGAGCCTTAAAAAGGATGTCGACAGACTGGAATAGATTGCGGAAGGTGACGCTGTTATAGAAAATGTGATTCTGAACAAAAATTAAAACAAAAGTGCGTTTAATAATGAAAGTAAGGGACAAACGTTACAGTTCTGCAAAGGGTGAGCTAATAAAGATACCTTTTACCTGTTCACAGAAAGTATGGTGAGACAGAGTAGGAAGTTTTTACACAAAGTCACTGGTTTTTTGTTGTAATTAAAAAGCCAGATCTAAAAAAATACAGTAACACTTTTAATTGCTTCAGATTTGTTTAATTACTGTTTCCAGTAGTTGAAGGAGAAGCTATTCAAAGAAATGACTGATTCCTTGGTTCAAGACAGATTGGCTCACTCTGAGAAGCCGAGTTCTGTGGCTTACATGGATGCCTAAGAGGCATAAATAGCTTCCTAGGTAGCATAAAACTGTCGTGCTGGTTTGAAGTTGTAGTTGCTTTCGGAGCAGCACATAGGGTGGGTGAACCTCTTACAACAAGTCAGAAAAGCATTTCCAGGGAGGCTTACGTGTGCTCTGCTAGGTCTGCTGTCAGCAGAAATGTCGCTTGGCTTGCAGGAGGTTGGGAAGTAAGGGTTAAGGAGAGCTCTTGTTACTGCTTTAATCAAACACCTGGATTGCTGGTGCTAATTGCTAATTACCGTTGACTGGAGACCTCATCTGCAGCGGCTGACTTTGTTTCAGAAAGCCTTGAGAAAGCCTTACTCATGTCTGGCTGCTTGGTTCAAAATGTGTTTTACTGCTTGTTTGAGGGGTTGCTGAGGACTTGGTTGTGATGCTGTAATTACGTTTTCTTCTTTTTTTCTTTTCAGCTGAAGAGAGATAATAACACATGAATTAGAGGAATCAAAGTGAGGATGTTGGGGTTTTTTTTGGTTTTTGCTTTGTTTGGGTTTTGGTTTGGGTTTTGGGGTCTTTTTTTGGGTTTTTGGGGTTTTTTGGAGTCTTTTTGCAAAGGAAGCAGGTACTATTTAAAAATAAATAAGAATTTACATAGGGAAAATTAGAGAGGAGATACCACAAAGCCTGCTGCTTCAGCAGTGGCAGAGTGGGAGCTCTCTGCTGTTTTAGGTACGTTTTTGGCCCTGGACAAAAATTCCAAGAGCTTTCCACGTGTCTGCTGCATTTTTGTTGTTATTGAACATGGGGTCTTTTTACTTGAGAAAACCATGAGGATGCTAGTGAGCATTTATGCTATCCTTGCAAACAGCAAACCTCCCATGCTGACTGTATGGCGTGTTATGGTTTGGCCTAAGGACCAGGGCTGTGACACAGCTTTGTCTTTTCTAAATTCCGCAGGGAGGGCAGTGCAGGGTGTGGGTTTCAGCATGACTTCGTGCACTATGTATGAACATACAAATATTCCCAGCTATAAACAGGCGGTTGCACTACATTTAGACTCCTAAGATGATGATGATCAATCGGAGAAGAGTTGTTTTTTCTTTTCTTCCTCAGAACAAGTGGTTTTTTCCATAATCATCCAAAGTGGTCTGTATTGTGGCCAAGTGAATGTAATTGGGTTGACAATGCCTGAAGTCTGTAATCAGCAGTCTCCTCTCCAGGTGATATCATCTTTCCAAGGAAAAAGAAATCACTTCCACAAAACTTTGATGCAACTTTTGTCTTGATAAAATGCTTCATTGGTTGCTAATAGAACCCCAAAGGGTGCTTGTCTTTTTTCCCCTTCTCTTCCCCTACCCCTCCACTTTTTTGCAAAGCCTGCAAGTTGCCCATTGGAGTCACAGAATCACAGAATCACAGACCGTCAGGGGACCTCCAAAGCTCATCCAGTCCAATCCCCCTGCCAGAGCAGCAACATGCAGATGAGGTTACACAGGAAGGCGTCCAGGCGGGTTTTGAATGTCTGCAGAGAAGGAGACTCCACAACCTCTCTGGGCAGCCTGTAACCCAGTCACCATGGTTGCCCTTCTGATGATTTCCCTAGTGTCCCTGCCAGCTTTCAGCAGTATTTTTTGGCGATGGTCAGTGTGGTAGTCAGTGTTTTGTGTTTTGCCTTGTGCCTCAGCTGAGAGGCTGTAGTATAAAGTGAACACAGAGGTGCGAGGAAGCCTGGTGAAAGAGCAAACCAAATCCCTTCCTATCGCCTCCTTCAAGTCTTTCTTGCCGCCCATCTTCCTCTGTGCTGGGAGTACCTGGTTTCTGTGAGAGGTGGGATTCACTGTGCTGGTGTTTGGATGGGGGTTGAATTCACCCATAAGAATAACCCATGCCTCCTTAGGACTCAAGTGTGAGAGGTGAACCGTAATATAAATTAGTGCAGATTTGGGTCTGGAGCTGTCATTTGTATTTGAGTACAATGAAGTGGATCCTGGGGTTTTCAGTGTGAACAGCATTGATATCCAGAACAGGAAAGACTTCTGTGGTCAGAACAACTGGATGTACAGAGGGTCGTACAGGGTACTCTGATATTCTTATAGTGACTAATAATCTAATTTGTTTGCAAAAGATACATCTGGTTACTCATTAACATTTTTCAAAAATCTGCATTTTTCCTTAAAGAGAATTCTATTCATTGTATACGAGGGTGGACATGCTACCAGTTGTTATTATCAGAAGCTTTTAGTAGGAAACTCAACAATCATTTGTCCACATTTATGTTCTTCTGTTTCATGTCTGTCTTTTCTCTGAGGTGCCGTCTCCTTTGTTCACAGTTACCCCTAATGACTTTTCTAAAATGTGTTTGGCATGACAGCATACTTATTAAAAGGGCTTAATTATTCTCTGTTCTTTGTTTTGAAATACACTGCACTTGCTTGTTTCTAATCCTTAAACTGATCTCTTTTTCCTTTAATACAAATACACTGAAGTGAAAGTTACTATCTACATTGTTAGCTCCAATTTCTCTGACATAAGAGGCTTTCTAAGCAGAAATCTGATTGAAAGCCAGATTAAAAACACACGTGCTTGTAGTTTGGGTATTGATTTTCAAGTTGAGAAGGTCTGCACAAGCAGAAAGTCATCAGTTAAAAGAGCTGGTCTGATTCAGACTTGTGATATGGTCCTTGTGTTGGGTTTTAGCCTCAATTGTTGTGATTTTTTTTATCACCAGGGTCCTCCAGGTCCTCCAGGTTTACCTGGTCCGTCAGGAAAGAGAGGTCCTCGGGTGAGTAAAGCAGCTTTGTTCTTCTCTGGCTCCACGCAGGTCACCAATAATCAATCTGGAGTTTGCATTGCTTTGTTTTTCTCAGCTTTATTCATCTGCTTAATGTTTAGCAGATAGGTTAAAGTAAGGCAGAGCGAACAGGGTTTTTCCTGCTGTGAGCCTCCAGCACAGTGAATTCCATGTATGGGTGCATACACAGAGCATTGTTACGTTTGTACCTAGCTTTTGCTGCTCACAAAATTAACTTTCAAGATTTTCCATGCTGCTCCCATCTGCTGCGATCTAAGGTCGTGTTCGCTTGTTTTTGGAGTGAGGGGGAGTGAGCAGTGCATGCCAGGGCCACAGAGGAGCAGGCAGTGGATGCAGAATTAACCACTGCAAGACAGAGGGGGAAAAAAGCACTCCTAAATAACCTGGTTTAGTCTCCTGTGTTACAGCAGCTTGATAAAAGGGGCGATAGATATCAGGGTATTCTGCCCGATAAATGAGCTACAGCGGCAAACGCTGATTTATTTTGTGACTGAGCGCACCCCAAC